GTGTTCTACAGGACATGCTATTTCCATGCCCTTTCACTAGATAGATGTATGTGTATCATGCCCTGTTGAACTCAAGGGGTTAAGCTAGTAAAGTTACCTATCTCAACACATGAAAAGGAAGAATTAGCCACAGTTCCCTAGCTACTAGTGTACCTTTCAACACCTTTTCTATGATGTCTAGTATTGATAGGATATATAACTGTGAAAGGACGAGAAAATGCACTGAAGTGATCTAAGAAGTAAACTATCATCTTGACATGTTTTTTCTAGCTATTGAAAACCTTTCCATATTGCAACTCATTCTGACAGTGAAACTGTAGAATTCCTCTGATTTAAGTACCATCTGGTTGTGCTCAAAGCTTTAAAGCTATTATCTCAGCATAAAATTTCAGCGTCCTATACTTTTTTCTTCGCCAAACTATCCATTTTTAAGCCACAAATATTTTTCCAGTCCTTTCAGATTTTATCTAAAAGTATATTTTAACAGTATTTAAATAGTTCTTAAACAATAACAATTTATCTTGATAGATGACATGCTGTGTTTTTTCATTTTATTTTAATTAGCCATTGTGGAACCAAATTCCCTTTTGTTTTATTCCTTTGAATACTGTTTAATTATAGTTATCATGCCAAGTATCTTAAAGGTTATTTTACCAATACAGTTTCATTTAACATAAGCCATGTGGAATCAATAGTCCTGTTTCCTAAAGTGAATGCTTGGAAAATCTTACATTCATATGTTAAGAGTACACATCCTTTCCTCATTAGTTGGAAAGTACAGGGATTTTGGCACAGGTTCTGTGTGGAAGCATTGTGCAGCTTTTATATGGATTTTGTTTTTAGCCTTTGATGACACTGTTTAGAATAGGAAGTATCTAATAAGTAAAGCATTTTGTCTAATGTGCTGCCAGTGTGTTTAATATATGCCTGGAGGTCTGAAACATTATCTTCTTCACTACAGTAATATGCATTTAATTCTCTCAAAGCAGAAGGTCGAACTTTTAAAAGGGACTCAAAGTACATTTTCAACTAAAATAATTTAAAACACATGGGATAGGGGACCAGAGTAATGTACAGTTGGTTTTTATGGTTTAATCATGATCATGTTAATGCACACCAGTAGCTAATTAAAGAAAACTTTTATTGTTCATTTTAAATGGGTTATGTAAAGAGTAAGAGAATTGATATAATACAGCCCAATGATAAATGTTACCATTACATTTGCTAACAGCAAGCTGATATGCTGTTCTTGACATCTTTAAAGTATTGGCCCATTTATTTCATAATAAAGCAAAGAATCTTTTAAGAGTTCTTATACTGAGAGTCATTCCTTCTCATATCCTTATCCCATTAGAGGAATACCTAAATGATTCCCAAGTTTATTACTAGGCGTATTTTCAGGTTAACTGTGAAACATGGTTGGAAGGCTTGATGCTTAGTGAGCTGAAATTGATGCAAGAAGTTCCAGTGCTACTTCTGCACCTTTATTTTGTACCCAGTTGTTATATAAAGCTGTCTTGCAAATCATTACTCACTTGTTCCAACCTTTAGAATATATGTGGTAAGAGCATACATAAGTCAAAGTTTCATTGTGGAACCGGGTGGCATGGAAAACCGTAATAGGATATGGTGTCTTTCACCTTTCGGGCAGTGGTTCATATTCTGTGCTGCTTAGTACTGAGCAGAAGTTACCATCTGACTGCTGTTTGGTGACCTGTGTGAATTGATTCAGGGTCTCAGTAAAGTTTCTGTAGTCGAATGTCCGCATAACAGGAAACTCAGCAGTTGGGACCAATTAGCACCCTTGCAGTAGTCTTCACAGAGAAACTATAGTCTGAATGGGGATGGAGGCAGAGCTACTTTCCTACCTCCCTTCAGGTGCTTTACAGAGACCAGTACATTTAATAAATAAATAATTATAAAAAGAAGCAGAAAAGAACTAGGTCTCAAATCAAACCTATTTAGGTGTGAGAAGAGAGGACTTGTTTAGAAACCAGAACTATGCTTTCTCCCTCCACTCAGTCATACACGTGCAATGCTTTTCTCTCTGGAAGAGTATAATCTTGTGGATGACATTGTATTTTCAATCCCTGTAGCCAAGTCAAGCATAACCTAAGTGTCAGGTAATTGTAGAAATTTCTGCTGCATAGAGGAGAACAAGAGAGTACCATGTAGGTACCCATAAGAGCGTCATTCACTATAGAACCATGCTTTCTAAAAAGATTTTTTCATAAGTCTGAGCTGATGGCTATGGAGCAATTAAAAATTGCTGGGTCTAGCAGCATACGCCCTCTACTTCGTTTCAGGCAGCATTTCCGTGAAATGATACAGCAAGATAGTTTCACAGCCCCATCCCTTCTGTCTACTGCTTGCCCTGTGCGCATAAGCAGTAAAACCATCTATACCATTTTTGAAAGTGCCATCAGTGCAGAATATTGGCAAAGCACTTTATAGTTTACCAGACAGAAAGACTGAGGTGTAAATAGGCTAACTTTGCTAGGAGATCAGGAAGAATTGGGATTTCTTGGCTCACAATGTAGTAATTCATTAAAATGGTCTCTAGTTATTTTTACAGAGGCTGCATTAAAAGTGGTATCACATTTACAAGTTAGTGATACAAGTCTGCCATAGAAATCAGCCGCAAGGAATTTTATTGGTTATTTGAAAAATATGTACATGAGTGAATCTGAAAAGATTGTAACCAGAGCTGGCAAAAACCTTTTCAAAGAAAATCTCAGCTAGTTAATGGTTCTGTTTTAGGATTTCCTCTGTAATACTTTTTTTTCTAGTATGTTCATTCCTTTAAATAAAAGAAGGGGGTTGCTCCCTTTGTTTCGTAAAGCACAATGTAAAGGAACCTTTAAAAAAAACTGCTTTTCTTTAAATCTCCCACAACCCAATTTCTGCAGTTTATGTAGAATCTATTAGTATTGCTGATAAAGACCAGTTTGAAGAAATTCAGTAATTCACTGCCCTTCATTCCTGTAGTTAAGCTGCTGATAAATTTTTTAAGTACTTGTAATTCATGGTTATATTTTTCAAGAGGAAGTTAAGGTATGGTTTCGCCTAGTTTATATCTCGCTTTTCAAAGATTCGCTACAGTGGAGCAGATGAAAAGGAACTATTGAAGTACGTCGTGGAACAAAGAAATGAAATCATTGAGTCAATGTGCAGTGGCAGCCAAAAAAAAAAACCCAACAAAATATTGGACATCATCAGGATGGAGATTGAGAACAAGACAGAAGGCATTGTTTCACAGCTATATAAAACCGTAGTGATCCCACTTCTTGAATACTGTGTAGAGTACTGAAAAAGTGCATAGTGGAGTTACAGAAGTAGAGAAGGGAAGCTAAAATGGTGCTGGAGCAACTGTTTTGTGAGGAGAGACAGAAGAGGCTGGGATTTCCCTGCCTGGAGAGGAGAAGGCTGAGGTTGATAAAGCTGAGCGTGGACCTAAGTGTGTGATCCACTCACTGCAAAAGATGGGGTAATGCAATGACACTAGTAGGAGATTGGTTTAAACCAGAGAAAAAAAAAAAAAAAATTGAAACTTGCTACCTTAGAACATTGTGGAGGCCACACACTGTCAGCATGTTCAAAAAGGAAGCAGACAAATTCATAGAAGTCCAGAAATGGTCACTAAAACAACTACACAGGTGTGTACCACTGGGATCCTAAGTGCAGCGGCTACAGATGATTGGGGAGTAGGAGAGGAAGATTGCCGGAAGTGGGCAGGGTCCACGGTCCCTCTCGACAGAGTCTCCTCCTAGTGCTGTCAGAAACAGCGTACTGGGCTGGATGGGTCCCGAATCTGATTGACTTGGGCATTTCTTGTGTTAGTTCTTGTATGGAGCAGAGCAGAAACAGGGCAGCACAGATGGAAGCGTTAGTTATGCTGTGGAAGCTATACAGGCTGAATGCATGACTAAACTCCATATGAATCAGAGGAGGTGGCTATACATCATCATTATTATTCTTATTATTGAATTTATGCAGGTTGGTTTTTTTCCCAAATATTTTAGCATATGCCCACCATCTTGTCTTCAAGTTCTTTGTAAGATTTCTGCATGTTTCATGGGCAGTATTGGAAGTGTTTTCTTCCCGAAGCACCTCCTTGTCTTCGATATCTCTGTCTCTTGACCTGGTACTGTGTGGTCCCTGGACACAGTCTTGCAACTTTTTGTTTCACTCTTGCATTTCCTGTGATAGAAGGAAAGTTCTTTTTACTGTTTATCAGTGGTGTATGCTTTCTTTTCAAAATACTTCTATATGCAAATGTGAAACCCTGTGAATGTCACAGCCAAGGCCATAGTAGCCTTGGTGAGCCTTGGTAAGCTGAGAACCCATACCCCACCACAGAAGCGGTCTTTAGATTGTGCTGACGTTTACTTCCACTTCGGTGTTTTATATAAGGCAGCTGTCATTTCCATGACACTTAAGAAAAATATTTGTTCTACAACATAATACTTAAACATTCCAGCTTACAACTTCCATTTAGTCTTTTTGTAATCTTGCAGTAGATTAATATAACATTCTATTTCATCTAATCATGGTAAAATATTTTAGTGCCAAAGAGGACTTTTTGAGCATCAGTGCTCAAAACTGGAAAACAATTCTGACTAGGCTGTCTATTTACATTGCATTATTTCACAGAGATATGGTTTTATATTAGGCCTTAAATTTCTTGTAGATTCTTCAGAGTTTAAAGAAAGAGTTTAAATTAAAAAAAAAAAAAAGTCATTTAAGCCTAGAAATCATTACTCTTGGTTTTTTCCTTCACATGTTCTTTTGGCACTTCATCTGTTGTGAGTCATCATTTCATTGGAACAGACACCTGCTGTGTTTTCATGAGTGATTACTGTGTTAAAGTTAACTTGGCAGATACTTTTTTATAATTCTCTTTTTTGACATCATGTTTATATAGCGATTGTTTGCTGCCACTGAAATGGAAACAGTTGGGATATGGTTATCATAAGTTAATACAATATTTTCCTTTGCAGGTTTCCAAACAAGAGCAGAAAAAAATGGATGTGTCTGATGGAGGAACAGTTGAGACTTCTTCCCGTTATAGCGGGGCACAGGACAGCGGAATCGGCAGCGACAGTGTTAAGATCAGAATTGTTCAGATCGAGCAGCACAGTGGTACCAGCCAGCACCGCATTGCCCGTCCTTCCCGCCAGTCTTCCATCGTGAAGAATCTCAATTTCATTCCATTTGACATTTTTGTTACAGCAAGTCGAATCTCCTTGATGACTTACTCATGCAGTGCCTTACCTAAATCAAAATCGGTACAAGATCAGAAAGATGGTGAGAAAATAAGCAAAAGCTCCTTGAACCTTCCAGAAGGGGGCTCGGGTGGCAGCCATGATACCAAGAAGCCCAGTCAGCCATGCATTTCATCCGTCACAGCAGATGACCTTTTGAACAGTAATGTTCCCCTGGCTACTGGGAAAAAAACGGGTCTTTTGTCACTGGAAAGTCTGCATGCTTCCACAAGATCGTCTGCTCGTCAGGCCCTGGGTGTAACTATTGTTCGGCAGCCTGGTCGCAGGGGAACTGGGGACATAGAGCTACAGCCATTTCTCTACCTTGTTGTATCGCAGCCCTCTGTGCTCCTGAGCTGCCACCACAGAAAGCAAAAGGTAGAAATATCAGTGTTTGACGCTGGTCTTAAAGGAGTAGCCTCAGACTACAAGTGTACAGGTAAGAGCATTTAAAGATCATTCCTGGTTATAACTGCCACAATAATTGCACTTCTCAAAGTTACTGGAGCTGTGGAAAACAGCTGAGAGACTTCTAGGGTGTCTTTAAAAATCAAACAGTAAATATACATATTTATGTGATTATATCCCACAGATGAATCAAGTTAAGTGTGTAAAATGTTTGAAATTAAGATCTAACCTTCTAGCAGTTCTTCCTGTTGCTCGATATTACTTTCTCATTACCAGATTGCAATACGGATTGTTGCATTAGTCTAACTTGTGAATATTTTCTAAGGAAGTAAGAGTTATAAGCCAAGCTGATTTCATATAAAGCATTTTTTATGACAGAATATCACAATATTTTCCTATATTAGCCTACTGATAAAATTTAAAGGTAAACATTGTAGAAGCACCTGGTGTTTTGATCATAAACGCTAAGAAAATTACAGTGATCTTCCAAATGACATCTGATGATGTCATGTATTTTAAGTTTTCATTCAGCTGAGTAATAGGGTTTTGCAAGAATTTCCTTCTCTTAATGAATGGCTTTTTTTCCCCCATATGGAAAGCTTATAATAAGAAATATCAGAATAACTGTTCAAAAGAAAATAATCTGAAAATTTCTTTTTCTGTCTTATCTCTACTGGTGAAGAGAGAAATCAAATTATTGCAATTCAGTTGTCTGTAAGCCAGTACTGGGTGTAAGAATTTAATGAGATATGTCATGACAGAGAATTGGCCAAAAAAAAGTGTAAATGAGGAGAGATCTACTAAATGTGCAGCCAGAATTGTGGGGTTTTAAATCGTTCACTGAATGAGAGCTGTAGGTAAAATACATTGCTGTTTTTTTGTTGCCAGAGTTCATAGAGCACACTCATGAAAAGTAGTATACGGGGTTTTTCTGCAGCTATACCAAATCTTTGCTGAATGAGACGGTATCTTTTGAAAATTGGCACGAAAATAACATGCTTTTGCAAAAGACTAAAATTCTATTTTTAATAGACCTTAAATTTTTTTCAGAAATCTGAATTATAGTGGAACTTTTAAGAGGGATTAAATAGTGAGGAAGATTAGATATCTGGAAAGATGATGTTTAAAGGGAGAAGATGCATTCTCTGCCATGTTTTCTCTTATCATTCTTCCATTTTCATCTTTCTCTGTTGTTGCTGTCCTGTCTTGAAAGAAACAGAGCTGTGTCATGAATTTGATTTACTCCAAATTCCCATGTATATTTGTTAAATACCATATAAAAGGTGGTTACTGTAGCAATTAATATGAAAAGAATTAACAAATCAATTAACAAAACAGAGCCTGAAGGGAAAGTTGGAGTAGTTGTAAGTTAAAGATCAGCACTTCATTAACTCAGTGTTTTGGAAATAATGCGATATGACTTCTTCAGTTCTCATGTCTGAGGCATTCAAGTGTGTCCTTGTACAAGGTGCCACCACATTACCAATAAACTGGTCAAAGTTGTCTCCATTCTGCTCCTACAATTAACTTCTGAAGTCTTTCACCATCTTCATATCTATGGGAGCAATTCTAGAAAATGCAAGCTGTGATAAAGTCTTCCTGCAAATTGAAAGCACAGAAGCATGGCAAGAAGTTTTAATAATAAAGAATAGTAGGAACATACAGCCTGAGAGCTCCTCGGTCACCAGCAGTTGTTCAGTGAGACCCAAAGAGATCTTCTTTGAGGACCAAAGACTGGCCCTACATGGGTCTTACCCTTTTCTTTGGCTTTTTGTCTCAGTGACAGGCAAAGGTAAAAGTGTGGAGGCAGGAGTTCTGGTCTCATCCTGCTGCCTTTGGGGGCAGTAGTAAGTACCTTACTCATGTATCAAACAGAATCCTGTTGGCTCCTGAAGCACTAGAGCTCTTTTCAATTGGGTTTGAGAGGTAGGTGCCAAAAAAACACCATCCTAAATGTATTAATAAGTTAATAAAACTCATCCACACTTCGTCACACACTAACTCACACAGCAAAATAGGTAGTATAAAGTTTCTAATGCCTCTTGTTTAGGAAGACCTGCTGTGCTTGTCATTACATCATTCAGGATTAATGTTGTCATACCACTGTAGTAACGTGTTTATTTTGGAAATTTTTTAGTTTTCATTTCTAGCACGCGTCTTTGAGAGAAAATAGTCGTCAACTACGTGTTATATATATGTGTGTGCATATATATACACACATTCTCTATATATCATCATATAACGGAGCATCGGGAGCTTTGCATGGCAATTTATGCACTGCTGCAGTCAATTTCATCAATCACACCATTTTTCTTGAAGCTGTGACTATTTGCTGACAGTTTTATCTGAAAGAGATGTATCAACCAAATTAAGAACAATATAAAGTTTATTTGAAAGAAAAAAGTTAGCTTTTCTCCCTCTGTGCAATAGGTATGCACTGTATTCGTGCATTTCTCTGTATATCAAGGAATGGAGCGTTAGGAAGAGAGCATCAATTTTGTGTAATTCTGAAAACTTCACGACTGTTAGTTTGACAGCACTAGATTCAGATCTTATGAAATACTGTGGTATTTATTGTGGCTTCTCTACAAGACAAAACTGCAGTTCTGAAACAACTCTCAAATTTGCAAGGCAGATGCAAATGCAAAATTCTATTGTGAAGACAGGAAGGTCTTATTTTTTGATGGACATGAGTTCAGAAAAAAATTTGGGGTAAAGAAAAGCTGGTAATAGTTTGGACCTAGTTATGTTTTCCATCCCTCACCTCCCATTAGTGTACTTCTAAGAAATATATTGTTCAGCTGTGAATTAACAAAGAATACTCTAGAATTTAGAACTGCTTCTAACAGGTAGTTTGATGAGAGTCTGTTTTATGAAGCTTTGAATAAAATAGGGAAATTATCCTGTAAAACTGCACCGGCATGAATTTTAAAGAGAATAATAGTTAATCCTGGGCTGGTTGCAAAATTAAGCTTACTACCTTATAATGGTTTGCTGCTTTGAGCATGTATAGAAATGAAGTTTTTAATACTGTTATGAAGCCACATACATTTTATTTCAGCAAAGGGTTTGTTCTTATTTTTGAAAGATTTCAATTTAATAGAGCTTAAAATTCAGGAACTAGCACAGTAAGCTATCACTCTTTTTTTGTGAGAGAGAGTATTACAGAGTGGCCGAAACAGCAGACTTCATGCAAAGAACTTGGCTCCTCTGTCACTAGCTGTGTTATTTTTTGCTTACTTTCTGAAACATGAAAGATATAAGAACTTGAGAATAAAATAGGAGGAAATAGGCTATTTAAAACTTAAGTATTGTTAGTGTGTTAATTAGCAGTTAGTAGCAGCTCATTTCCATCAGGCCAGTGTCTGTCTGATGTGGGAGCATTTGCCTGCCTTGGAGCTAAAGACCTGATGGTTGTGCTTTCAATTTCCTCAATCCTTCTGTCCAGCCAAGTCCACTGGCAAGTCTGGCCTCCTTCTTGTGCAATGAAACAAGTTGGTAGGAGGAGCAGACTTAGTAGGTTATTAAAATGTTAGCTCAATTTTATTGCAGTTGTGCTAGACTGCGTGATTTGTGTTTTAAATTATTTTTGTAATTGCACAGCTTGATTGCAATTATGCTACCACCAGGTATAGGGACTTCAAATCAAAGTAAATAAATTAATGGAATAAATATTAACTGCTTAATAACCATCATTAAAAAGACTAGTTGCTCCCCGAGTTTACTTGTAAGTTTCTGTATAAATAGCCTGAAAGATACTATAAAACAACATTTTTTTTATTCAGTGTTCATCCTACATTTAACAAAAAGGCATCTGCTAACCGTTAGTTTTTGCAAACAGAGCATTGGCCATTTCCACTTAAATAAAAGTGGGTGCAATTGTTTTTAATGTAATCTCATAAGCCGCTTTTATAAATATTTTTTTAAATCTTTATTTGCTTTGTTTCAGGTAATGTAATCCAGACACGAAATTGCCTCATTTCCTGAGCATTGAGCTCTGGGCATTCTTGAAAAAATCTTTTTTCTATTTGTTTGTTTGTTTACTTTCAAAGAGGAGGCTGTGGTGCTCGTTTTTTTTAGGGGAGTGAAATTTCTCAATAAATATTTGTTATGCATGGAATTTCTTCAGCTTCCGCCAAAGTAGCATTTGAAAAAACAGGCATTGTGAGGCTGTCCAGAATTATTCTGGATTTTTCTTTTTTTTT